CCAGTGAATGATTGATCAATATTCCTTCATTATGTTACATTATTTTGTAAATGATTATGTATTTATACAAAAAAAAATTTTATTTTATATATTTTTTCAATAAAATTTTGTATATAAAAATTCTTTTAACACATTCTTATTATAACTAAATATTATATTATTTAATATTCTTTTTAAATTTTTTCACTATAGTAAAGAAAAAAAATTATAAAATAATAAATGAGTTAAATAAAAATTAATTGTGTATATGTAACAAATTATTAGAAAAAATGAAAAAAACACTTTAAGCTTCAAAGCTTAAGTTCATCTGTATTAAATTGATCTTATATTGCAAATAGCATTTAAATATAAAAATATAAAAAAGACTATTTTTATATTTTCTATTTTATTTATTCATTTATTTTTTATTTATTGCTTGCATTGTCAATGATTATATTATATGTAAACTTATTAATATCTACTTTTACAACTTTCAAAGATTATATAGCTAAACATTATTACACGTTTCTTGAGAAGCAGGTGAACAAATTGTATAACATACATCTTTTTGTGGTGGCCTTTGTAAAGGATGTGCCAATAATTTAGCCATACTATCATGTAATTTTGCTGCATTTCTTCCTACTTCTAATATATATGAAAAATTTGTTGTATCCAATGTTGCTATTTCAGAATAAATTTCTTCGCATAAATTTTCGGAACAAGGTGGCTCATGTACATATAATACATCTATGAAAAAATATGGATTTTTTATAAGAGTATCTAAAGATCTTTTACCAATATGAAATTTTGGGATACTGTTGGAACGTGAATACACTAAAATTACTCTGATAACAAATGTTGGAACAGTAGTCTCATGTTTCTTTGTTAATAGAAGTAATTTTTGTTGTATTTCATCAAATAATTGTCCAAGGTCATATGACTTTTGATCTTCCTCTAAAAAATCATCATTAATAAGATTTAAGTGATTAACAATACTATTGGTATTACTGGTAAAATCACATATCCATCTAGAGCTGTGAGAGTTCAAAATCATTAATGCATATTCATGACTATGTTGAATGATAGATTTAATGTAAATAAAATTTTCTATAGTTCGTTTTATCATAAATAAAGGAGTATAGCTAGCTCCTGTAGAAAGTTTAAAGGGAGTACAATTTTTCTCTTTTGCTGTATCAATTACAAATAAAATCTTCTCGGGTAAATTCATTCCCGAAAAATTTCGCATCAATGTATTATCTTCATCAAAATATGACTTGAAATCAGGAACAAAACACGAGGCGTTATCAGTATTACTCATTTCCTATTGGATGTAGGTTAGCATTTCAGAAAATTTTTAACAGTTCAATATCTTTCACAATTATTTTTTTATGTATTATTTACCTAGAATATTCACGTGATTCACGTGCGATATGCGTCTGATTCGTATAATGCAGTACTTAAATCCAATTGAGTTTATAACTTTCCATATTAAATCATGCTATATTGATATTGTGAATGATCGATTTCATTAATTTTCTTGATTCGAAAAAATTCACTGATCGATGGACTATATATGAAATCAAAATCGCAATTTTGAATTTTACAAAAATCGTCGTCTAAACATTTCCACGTACGATTGGTATCTTTTATGCATGAATCATGATTTAAGAATAAGTTATCATTTATCACTATACTATCATTTTAAAAATCTTTTATATCTTTTTTTTTTGTTTAATTATCCTATTAATTAGAATTAATTTAAATTTATTCGAATTTACAATATCCGATAGATTGACATTCATGAACTTAAAAGTTAATGCATACGATCGGACTTGGTGAAGAAAAAATAAATGTTTTCAAGTAACAATAATCGTCTTATAATTATAATATTAAAAATCATGATTTTTGTTGCTATGAAAAGATGAATCTTGTAATACCATTAAATTTGATGTTGCGAGATACAATATAACATTATCAATATCATAACAATAAAAATTATGACTTTTATTCTTATACGTGAAAACAAACCTTAAGGACAACATATATATTATTTTTCTCACTGGATGAATTGTTAATGGAATCATTATAGTGATTAAACTTATAACCTAAAAAATATTTCGTATATGTGTAACTTTTAACTTATAGATTCTTAAAGTTTTTAAAAATTATCAATTTTGAAATATATTTTTCATTAGAAAATGTAAAAATATCTTAAGTTTTAGTAAGAAAAAAAAATTTAAATAAACTATGCTTGCGTTACAAGATTACGGTAGTAGTGATAGCGAACCTGAAAATGAAAATGAAAATAGAGAGAATGAGGTTAACTGTATGATTGATTCTACCAATGTTGTTAATTCTATTTTCGCAAAAAATTTAACTGCATCTATAAATATGCAAATTTGTTCTGCACCAGAAGTGATACCAACGGTAAATATTTATTTATTATATTAAATTTTTCTTTATCAAGATTAAAAATTATTTTTTTAAATGTGCTATAGGGGACTGAATTATGTATAAATCAAATAGATTCAACTATAAAAGAAGTAATGCATAATCCCAAATATGAAGAACTTTTTGCTCCAGATGTTGGTCCAGAAAATCCTTTTAAAACACAACAACAACGTGCTGTAAAAAATATACTTTCTGGATATGTTGAGAAAGCTCATATAAGCGAATTTCAATTTGAAAATCAAAGAAGAACATTTGCCAGTTATGGTATAAAATATAATAATAATATATAATAAATGTTAAAAGAAGTTATAATGATATATAGTTTTATAAATATTATATTTTATAGGATATGCATTAGATCCAACTGTAGATGGTAGTGCAGAAGAAGGTAAAACTATTATTGGAGCAAAAGATGCTGCTGAAGAATCTGGTGGTAAAACTGTATTTGAAAGTACAACATTAAGGGCTTCTGATAAAAGAAAACGTCATAGAAATGATGATCCTGCAGATATTGAAGGATTCTTGGGTCCTTGGGGTGGATATATAGATGAAAAACGAATTATTAAGCCAACCGAAGAAGAAGCTGCAGAATTAGAGGAAATATTAGCAAAACGAAACAGGAGAGGCAAACCAGCAGAGGAAAAACCACTTGAGGAAAAAACAGTATTACATAGTAATATCATAATAATTAAATATATAATTTATATAAAAGATTTTGAAATAATCAAATTTGTTTTAGTTAAAGACAGTGTGGATTATCAAGGTAGATCATTTTTACATGCTCCTCAAGATGTTGGAGTAAATTTACGATCAGAATCACCACCCGATAGGTGTTTTTTACCAAAAGCGCAAATTCATATTTGGGAGGGACATACCAAAGGTATTTCACAAATCAGATGGTTCCCTCGTACTGCACATTTATTACTTTCTTGTAGTATGGATTGTAGAGTGAAGGTATTTATATTTTAATCTTGAAACATGAAAAATAATGACATGATTTAATTTCATTTATATTATTAAATATAGCTATGGGAAGTTTATAAGGATAGGAGATGTATCCGAACCTATTATGGACATCGCCAAGCTGTAAGAGACATAAGTTTTGATAATGATGGAAAAAAATTTTTGTCTGCTGGATACGACCGTTATGTAAAATTATGGGATACAGAAACGGGTGCTTGCATAAGTCGATTTACAAGTAGAAAAATTCCGTATTGTGTTAAATTTAATCCTGATCCAGACAAACAGCATTTATTTGTAGCAGGTACCAGCGACAAAAAAATTATCTGCGTGAGTTATACATACACACGTATTTTTAATTTTAGGATATATTATAAATTTCAATTTTATCAGATAATATAATATATTATATTATTATACAGTGGGATATTCGTTCTGGTGAAATAACACAAGAGTATGACAGACATTTGGGGGCTGTGAATACGATAACATTTGTAGACGAAAATCGAAGATTTGTAACGACTTCAGATGATAAAAGTTTGAGAGTTTGGGAATGGGATATACCAGTCGATATGAAATACATAGCTGATCCTTCTATGCATTCTATGCCAGCAGTTACACCATCACCAAATCAAAAATGGCTTGCATGTCAAAGCATGGATAATAAAATTGTTATATTTTCGGCCTTAAACAGATTTAAAATGAATCGTAAAAAAACATTTACGGGTCATATGGTTGCTGGTTATGCATGTGGTTTGGATTTTTCTCCAGATATGAGGTAAAATATTTTTTCGTTTATAAAATTATAAAATTATAAAATTATAAAATTCTTTATATTCAATATAATTTAATATTTTTACTTTTATTTTCTTAAGTTATCTTGTTTCGGGAGATGCAGATGGTAAATGTTATATTTGGGATTGGAAAACAACAAAATTATATAAGAAATGGAAAGCACATGATGGTGTATGTATTGATGTATTATGGCATCCTCACGAACCTTCAAGACTAGCTACAGCTGGTTGGGATGGAAAAATAAAATATTGGGATTAATCATAAATAATCACATTGTAAAATTATTTATTTTGTATGTATATTTTATATGATGTGTATAAATAGATTTACTTTATATATATATTTCTAACCATATGTTATTAATAAAAATATAATATTAATAATTATAAAAATATATATAAACTTTTTAAAAATATTAAAAAATGTTTCATTATTATACAGAAATTATACATTACATATTTATATATATTATAATTATACATTACATTATTATATTTATAATATATATATTTTACATTATATTTTCAATAATATATAGAAATGAATGCTTGCATAAGTCGATTACAAATCGAAATTATTTTAAAATTATTGATATCGTTATTTTTATAATTATACCAATCAATAATTATTTTAAATAATTTTCATTATAATTTATAATTATATTTATAATTAAACACAATTGACATAAAATTAATAAATTAATTTAATTAACAATTATTTTCTCTTATTAGTTAAAAATAGTTATCACAAACCAGATTAAAATAAATAAGCGATTTTGAATAAATTATTATAGTATTAAGAATTCGATAGTGAACTCGAACTGATTGATTCATACAATAATTCGCATGCAATTAAATAAATGAATTGTTATGGATATAATTATAATATTAAACATGAATTATTCGTATAAATTCTAATTACAGTCTTAAATGGCGAATTACAAACTGTGTACCATACTATCGTAAAAATCAATAATATACATCATGATGTCTGCTGCATTTGTTTCATACGTCGTTAAGAATTTGTTTTTTGTCATCACCGAATTAAATCTTGTTACAATTTTAATCGTTAAATTGACGAACGCTTAACAATATATGCTCTGCTTAAAATTGTTAAAATTTAATATGATATATCGATTAACACAAATATCTTGAAATTATACAAAAATCTACAAAGACTAAATAGAAAGGTAATAATACCTTAGTTACATAAATATTTTTTTTTCATATGATTTGAATGCGAATAAATGTGTAAAATTATACAATATATCATAAGTATATTTTTAATATTTTCATTGAAAATGTGATTTGTTTATAGTGTAAAATTATTTTGTTTTTTTTATAAAACTAAAGATAATCAGATCAATACAATAGAATTATTTTTCGCGTCTCCATTATAAATATTTAAAAAAAAACATAAAAACTTTTATTTTCTATTTATTAAAAAATTTATTACAAAAATATACAATATATGTTTAAAGTATAATTATAAAATATATATAATATATATAATATATATATTTATATGTGCAATATATGTGATAGATTCAATATAAAAATGGATGGATCTGGATTGGGATATTCATATCATCTTCCTTCTGCAGGATGGAATTTTCGAGTTAGAAATGTACTTGCACAATTCAGTGATCTTTTTAGTGAATTTAATAAGTATATTGCTCCTGCTTATCATCATGATCGATGTGAGAGGTACTTGATTCCATTTATACAAAATATTTTATATATATATATTTTTATATATTTAAATAATAATATTCTTTTTTAGATCAGTTCAAATGCGATTATATTCCATGCATAAAAGAGAATTTGTTATGGTATTTATTGCTTTTTTTGCATGTTTTGGATTAGCTGTATTTATTGGACTTGCAGGTATTTTTATAAAATATTTCTTTTTCATTATATATATTATTTTATTCTTTTTATTGTATATTATTATAGGTCCTCCTATTACTTCTATGAGTGAACAAAAAGCTCATGTAAATAATAGCGAAGTTGCTACTGGTCCTTTTATTATGAAAACACCTTTATTATCTACATATAGTCAACAATTATGGGTTATTGCAAAATTATTAACATCTAATAATGATGGTAATATAAATATAAAAGAATTAAAAAATTAATAAATTTATAATTACATTTCAAATTTTACAGATGAAAGATATGACAAAAGTTTTCAAATAAGCATTTCAATAGATGGTATTATTGATCATAAACTTATACCTGTTCTTTCTTCGGAAACTGGTCACAATAGGTATTTTTTATGATCTACAAATATAGTATAACTTATTCATTATTTCATATATATAATGTAAAATTATTATTAACATACTTTCTTTTTCAAAGAACCAGACACTTAAAATGTGAAAGACAAACATGTGAAGAACTGGTAGTTGCTCATCTTGGATTTCTTGATTACAGTTATTATATTATTACTGTTCGTTTTCATGGACTTGAAAGCTTCCATCAACGTTATAACATATGCGATCTCACATTCTACGTCAGTAAGCACTATATAAAAATAATATGATTGTATTATAAAAATTTCTAAAATCAAAACAATTGCATTTGATAATGTTTTTACTTGTTCATAGTTTAAAAATTATAATCCAGCATTTACGGAGTTCGAGATTTGGTTTCGATTTATCTTTTTGTTAACTGCATTTGGAGTTATGGTAAAGAATGAAGAATATTGTATATTTTTACACATTATTTAAAAAAAAATTATATATCAATTTTTATATTATATATTAATTTTTAGTGCTGGTTTGGACATTCCTTACGAAAATATCCATTACATGATTGGTCAATAGAACAAAAATGGATTTCTATACTTCTTCCCTTATTAATTTTATATAATAGTAAGGCATTAAAAATTAATTTATGTTTTTATATATATATTTAACTAATTTATTTTATTTTTATTTAAAATTTATTTTACTTTTATAGATCCATTATTTCCAATGACATTTTTAGTCAATTCTTGGGTACCTGGTATGATAGATGCAATTTTACAAACAACATTCCTTTGTGCAATTCTCATGTTTTGGTTATGTGTTTATCATGGTTTAAGACAAGTATGTGTGATATTTATTTAATTAATATAATATAGCATAATTTAAATCATAATATTATTTATATCTACAAATCTTATATTTTAATAGAACGAAAGACGTCTTATCACATTCTATTTACCAAAAGTTTTGGTAGTGGGTTTACTATGGTGTTCTGCATTTATTTTAGCAACATGGTTGCGTTGCACAGAATTAGAAGATCCTACTTATAATTATGTTCTTGATACATCAAATTATTTTGTAAGTTATCTATAATTGATAATTATAAGTTTATCACACAATATTTTTAATTAATACTTATAATTTTATAAATTTATATGATTATAGGGTTTCAAAGTATTTTTCTTCACAGTAGGAGGATTTTATATAGCATATCTTCTTCTCTTGATATTAAGAGCATACAGCGAATTAAGATCCATGCCATATTTTGGTATGTTTATAAATGCATTTGTTATTATTATTTAAATTATAATTGTAAAATATATTTGTAATTATTATTTAATATTTCTTAAAAAATATCTTTTTCGATATATTATTTTTTTTCTTTTTTTTCGTTTCTGTATTTTTTCTTTTTCTTTTATTGTTTCTTCTAGATCTTCGTTTACGTTTTTTGACGTTGCTTGCTGCTGTGGTTTCATTGGTATGTGGTTGCGTAACAGCGCGACAATTTGGAGCTGGTATATTTGAAGATAGCTTTGCCTCTCGTCTCACAACGTATTATCGTTCATCCGCACAATTTATGGCTTTGTATGGTCTTTTGAATTTTTATCTTTATACGATGGCTTATGTATATGCACCAGCATATCAACAAGTATATGGCCAACGTAAGTATTTTTGATTTTAATATACAAAATCTTTCATATAAAATTAATGTATTATTTTTTTAATTGATTTTTTTATAATTAGATTCTTCTATAACTAAGGACAACCCTACGTTTTCTATGATTAACGATTCCGATGAAGAAGTTATATATGGACCAGATGAAGATAGTCGACGGCCTTTAACTCAAACATCTAGAATTGCGAATAATAATAATTAATTAAATTAAATTGAATATTGTGAATAAGAAAAAAACATTTTTAATTAAAGGAAAGGACATGTTAATGTCAAAGATTTTCGTAAATAGTGATGTTATAAAATAAAATATATAAAGGTGAATAATTTATTTTAAACAGGAGTCATAAATAGAGATATAATGTAAAATAAAATATATATAGGTGAATAATTGATTCTAAACGAAACTTAATAAAATATAATTCGTTATTTGCAAAAATTTGTGTAAATGTGATATACATATTATTTCCTCTTAAGACAACAAAATTTCTTTTATATACTTACTTTTTTATTTATTAAACATAAAAAAATATTTTATATTTCATTCTAATTTCTGAATAATTATTAATGTTTTTTTTTGCAAATTAGAATCTTTTATATTTGGAAAAATTTGAAAAGTATAAATATTTTATAAAAAGAATTATATATTAAAAATGTAATAATTTATTTTAAAAAAACAAATTATTTAAAAAAAATTTAATCTTTTACTAATCTTTTAAAAATATTATATAAATTTATTTAAATTTTTTAAAATTTATTTTTAATTATTAAAAAGCATATTGAATATAAAAAACTAATTTTGTGATAATTTTAAAAACATTTATGGATTAAAAAAACTTTTATTATTATAAGAAATAAAAAATAATATGTATCATTATTTTGCTATATCTTTTCATTAATATAAAATTATATATATATATAATTTTAATGTATATTATATGTGTATAATTTTAATAAGTATATTAGCAAATAATATATATTTAATTTATATATTATAATTTAATGATAGGTAAAATTAATTTAATATATTTAATTATTAAAATTGTTAATATTTATAACAATTTTTATAAAAATTTTTCGATTACTTTTCTACTTTACTTTTTTAAAAAATAAAAAAAAAAATATATTATAAAAAAATTTTTAAACTCTTACTTAAATATTTTAAATTTTTTATCAAATAAAATACTAATATTCGATTAAGTAAATAATATTAAATACGTATATGTTTGATATAACTATTTTGAATTTTCAAATAAAACGGAAATCAATGCATGACGGAAATAATACATACTATATAATATAGTGCGCATGATATACATAAGTAAATGTGTAACTAACGTACTTACAATTCATAATTTTGTAAAATATACTTTCTATTGTTAAATCATTTTAAATTTCTTTGATAAATTTAATAGAATCATATCTTTATTGAGTTCATATTTTTTTCTTAATCGTTACATCGATCCTTATTCATCTTATAATAAGTAAGATATTAATATCATATAAATATGTTATAGTTAAGAGGTTATAACAAATAATCGTTCAATTTTAACAATTATTATTATATTTTTTTTTTACAGAATAATTATTCTTTAAGTAATAAATAATAATTAATGTCATATAAAATTTAATAGAATTTAATAAAATTATTTTAGATAATTCACATTCATATATATAGAAAATGCCGAAATCAAAGGAATATGTGTCTACGGATGATGACAGTAGTGATGAGGTATTTTATATAAAATAATATTCTTATACATATATATTTCAAATATAAATTTTGAACAAGATTGATTGATATTTTTAAAAGATTAAAATGAGTTTAAAATAAAAGATAAAATTTCATTATAAGAAATTAAAATTCATTATGAAACTAAGATATACATATAATATTTTTTTATTTTTTTTATATAAGGAAATGAAACCAAAGAAAAAGCAAAAAAGAGAAATAGAAGATAAAGAAGAGAAAGTATCAAAAAAGTTAAAAAATGAATCTAATAAAGATGAATCTAATAAAGATACTGTCTGGGATTTAGGAAATAATCGTCAAATCAGTGTAAGAGACTTTAAAGGAAAATTATATGTCGACATCAGAGAAATGTATTATGATAAAGAAGCAAATTTAAAACCTGGAAAAAAAGGTACTAATAAAATTTATTTATAATATATAATATAATTGAATGTCATAAATGATAATAAAAAAAAATCTTATATTTTATATAGGTATTTGCTTAAATGTAACGCAATGGAAAAAATTACTAAATGTTATGGATGATGTGGACAAAGCTGTAAAATCTAAATCTTGAATATTTATTTTCTTATATATTTAGTAAATATTTCAATAATTTGGGATTATGTTTAATATATATCTTTCTTATTATTCATAAACAGAATACACATTGGTTTTACATATGTTCTCAACTTACAGTTATATATGTACTGTTTGTGTTATAAAATGATATTTTCAATAAAAAAAGTATTTTCATCCTATATATACGAGCTGAATTTGAAATTTGATATTTATTTTTTCATGTACACAGAAATAACTTTTATTTATATAAATGTGCTACACATTATGCTAATAAGTTTAACAAAATAGTTTCCTAGACAATTAAAAAGGATAAAAGAATGCCCAATTTTTATATTATAACGCGCGCACGCGTTTATATATGTTTTATGTTCTGTACAATGTTGAAAAACTAAATTAATGCTCATGCTGGTCCATGAACAGAAGTTAAAAACTTATCCAAATCTAAATTGTTTAATAATGTTTGTGGATCTGTCGTACATTGTCGTTTTTCAGTCTAAAATAAAGAAGGAAGAAAATAATTATTAATATTTCTAATAAATTTCTCAAACAATTAAATTTGAAATAAATTATGAACCTGTTTACTTTCTTTTAATTCTGATATTTTTCTTTTTGAAATTTTTGCAATAATGTTGCCTGAAATTAATAATTTGGTAAATTATAACTAATATTAAACTAATATTTTTAATTATATCAAAGAAATATATTTTTAAGGGATATAATTACCTTTATTATCTTCTCGAATTTTATCTATTTTTAATCGTTTTTTATTATTATGTTGTACTTCAATATTTTTTTCATTCATAGTAGCAGTTTTGATAGTACTTTTTTTTATTGTAGATGTAAATGGTTTTTCCAATGGAGATGAAGTTGCTAAAGGTTTTGCATGCACATTTTTCATTGTTAAAGTATCGATAGAAATTTTATTCGATGTTTCGCAACTATTTTCATGTTTAATTGGTGATTTTCGATTTCCCAATCTTTTCTTAGATTTAGGCGGTAAATTAAATATTTCTTCATAATCAGTAGCTGTCATTACTTTAACATTTTCATCATAATTTTGATCATTTAAAACAATATTAATTTGAAGTTCCAACTCATGATTACTGTATCTTCGCCTTCTTTTTTTGAAAGATGTTATTTCGTCATGTAGAAAATGATATTCTACCGAATTAGGAATAGTTACATTAAGATCCATTTTACGATTGTATTTCGTACATTGAGATTCTATCTTACAATCATGTTTATATGTAGGAACGAGCTGCAAACATTGAAGTACACATGATAAACTCTTCGGATTTTCAGAATCGTTATTTTCTATATCTGTATTTTTAACAGTATCAAGTACTTCAGTAGGAATATTGTTTTTCTGATTGGCTGAAAAGTTTGTTTCTTCTTTTTTTAACACCTCTTCTTCATCACTAAATAAATCTCGTTTTATTTGATCAACTTTAGACTTCAATAAAATTATTTTTTGTTTATCATTATCTTTTACGTTTTTTAGATATCCTTTTAGTTCGCGTGTATCTTCTTCGTTAGAACTATGTTCATTTTTTATATCATTGAATTTATTTTCATTCAATGTATCATATTTTTTATTCTCACATTTTTCAACTTCCGTGCTAATTCTATCTTGAATGTGTTTCGCTTCTAGATTTTTTGTTGCATCCAATTTTATAGTTTCTTTAGTTTCTTTCTCAATAACTTTATTGTTATTTATTTGATTCTGTATCTTATTATTCTCAACTGCTATTTTGTTATTCTTTGGATCATTTTTTATTTCTGTAGGTACATGGTTTGTAATTTCAAATATCAATTCATTATTTTGTACATTGTAATCGATATCTTTTTGTTTTGAATTTTCCGAATTATAGATTTCATTTTTTGAATTATTATTAGTGGAAAAATGCTTTAATTTAGCGTTTTTATCATTATTATCATTAATAATATCATTATTAGCTTTGCCATTATTAATATTATTATTGTTGATACCAAGATCGTAATCATTACTATTGCTATATTTATTATTATTATTATTGTTATTAGTATTAATATTATCATTATTAATATTATGTGATTCTTCCATTTTCTTTTTCTTTTTCTTCTTTTTTTTCTTTTCATTAAATTTATTCTCATTTTTCTGAATATATTTATACTGATTACTTTTCTTTTTGAAACTAGTATTATTTTTACCTTTAAAAATGATTCTTCCTTGTTGAGTTTTTTCTTTGCTAAGATTGGTTTTAGGAATTTCACGAAATTTTGCTATCATACGTTGACGTTTGGCTTCTAATTGTACAACTAATTTCTCATTTATAGTAAGAGATTTTTGCCTTTTCTGTAACATTGAAGAATGTTTTATTGATTTAGTTGGTTTAAAACTAACCAAAGAAGATCTTAAATGTTGTATATCTACTATATTAGGTTTTTGTTTTAATTTTTTGGTTGTAGAATTTTCTATGCATAAATTTTGATTTGATTTTAATATTTGTCGATCTCCTGAAGTTATTAATGCGGAAATTTTGGAAGATAAATTAGTCAAATTCTCTATGCCAGTCTTTGAACTATTAGGAGTTTCAGAAATATCTATTTCATTCAATAAAGTCTCGTTTTTGGCAGGTGTTTCTTTCATATTAGATTTATAATCTTTTTCATTTTTTAATATTGAAAATACTTTTGAAGGTGAAGATTCACATTTTCTTAAAGCAATAATTGTTTCTTCCGCATGTAACATATCGCTTGGATTAATTTGTAACTGTAGAGAATTATTTTCTGAAATAGTTGAACATGCCATTTTTTCACTAATTGTTTCTGTAACGTGTGTAATTTTTCGTGTTGAGTCGTAATTTGTATTAATACAATTCTGATTTGAAATTTTTTTACATTTCTTATTAGGAGATTTTTCCACCGATTTTGTTGTTTTTAAATTAGTCAAAGTAGATGATGGTGAAAACACCGATGGTGATGATGAAGATGAAGATGATGACGACGAAGATGACGATGATGAAGATGACGATGATGATGGCGATGACGATGATGATGATGATGATGTAGAGGATGATGAAGAAGAGGAAGATGTGGATGCATTGCTATCATTCGAGTTTTCGCTATTCGATAAATATTTTTCATTATCAATATTTCCCTTTTTTTCATGTATATTTTTATTTATATTATCTTTATTGACATTATCTTCAACTGAATCAGATTTCGTATAATAGGTGGAATCCCGTGAATTAGCTGATATTTTAAGTTCTTTTATTGCTTCTTCTTTTGGCAAATTCTCTTTAATCACTTCAAATTGTGTTATTTCTAATTTTGCAGATACACAAGTTTGATATGTATTTGTAGAACTGATAATGTTATGTGGTATGCACTGTTTTGTGCATTGTGATGATCCTACGATTGGTTTTTGTATACTATTACTAAATTTTTCACGCTCATCTAGCTCAGAGGTAGGTTTATAATATGGAGAACAAGAATTAAATGTTTCTTTTTTTATATTGTCTGTAGTTGTTTCATCAGAAATTTTTGGAGTTAATGCAATACAAGGTGTTGTTGGAAATTCTGGTGTATTTATGAAACTACACATCTTACCAGTATCTTCGCTAGATTTGATAAACGGTGTTGTATTGCTACTTGGACTGAGCAATCTTGGTGTCGGTGGAACACCAGAAGAATTATTTAATTTTCTCGGTGTTTCGTGATCGATCAAATTAGGTACTTGTAATAATTGTTGTGTGATATCTACAGAAGTCCTTGTAAATTCTGAACGTTCTGTAGTATCCATGGAAATTGTATCTTTTTCTAAATGTGATTTTTTAGCACTTCGGCTACATTTATTCAAATTAGTTTGTAACGTTTTTAATTGAGCATATTTTTTTACATTTTTTTTTTCAAATAATAAATTATCATTTGTTGTTGCATTATCGTATGAATAATTATTCTTTGCTAGAGACAATTGATGATCGATATTCTTTTGTTCAATAATCGCTTTATCTTTATTTATTGTACAAATTTGTACATTAACATCGTCTTTTTTTATATTAGAAAAATTATTTACTGTTAAATTGTGATTAATATGAGTAGTTAAGAAATCCTTATCCGTTTTAGATTCATTACAATCTATGCTTTTCGTGATTGTGGATTCTGTCGCATTCCATTTTTCTACAATACATTTATTTTTTACATTTTGCACATTCTTTTTATTTTCTTCTGGTACAGTATTTTTATTTTTCGATGTACGTAAGTTGCATTTATTCTTCTTCGTTGATGAGATAACAACATTTGATTTAGCAATTTTTGAACGATTTGTTTTCTTGTCGGTAGTAGATATTTTCGTTTTTTGATTATCTTCATCAGCGGCAATGTGTAAAGCTTTTCGCAAATCTGCGTCCCATGTATCTTTTGTAAGTTTCAACGATTTAGATTGAGTTTTTATAACTTTGTTTTCAGAAGAAACATTGATGCTTGAATGTGAAGAAACATCGTCTATAATTATTCCAAGTCCGTTATACTTTTCCCAATCACCCATAAGTTTTGGTATTGGGCTTTTTGATGTTATTGGAAATTTGCAAGGCCGACAAAGTTTTAACGGAGTTTTAATTTTATGCGTAGATATAGCGGTATTAGTAAGTGGCGGAGATTTAAAAAGAGAATTTCTACATACAGATGTAACGATTTTTGTGGATTCTGATGAAAAATGTGCATTATTATTTTCATTGATTATTTTATCGGATATGTTTGTTGTCTTTATAGGCGTATTAAAATCGAGAGCTCTTATATGACTATTCCTCCTTCTAGGTGTTGATAAACTTAATCTATAATTTTTCGATCTACTTCTTAATAATGATTTTGGAGTGCGTTTATTAATGATATCGCAATCAATACTTTTGGAAGCTGAAAGATGTCGATCATTAACAATATTATTCGTCTTTAAAGGAACCACAACTTTTGAATTTTGAATGATAGGTGTTAGATCAATATCTGATAAATTTTGATTTTGATTACTCTTATTACAATTGAATTTAATGTACGGAGATAATCCAGAACCTGATAAACTAACATTATCTTCTACATTAATTGTAGGCATATTTGAACTATCTAGTAATGTTTTTGTACTAGTTTCATTACCATATAATGTTATTAATTCTCCAGCAATTGGTTTGGCATTATTTAATAATATAGGACTTATAATTGAATTATTTACAGAATTATTAATATTATCTATGGATCGAGTTATTTCTTTACTGCTATTTATTTTGTTATTATCTTCTTTTTGACATATTTGCATCGATGTTGTCATTGTTGTTGTTGTCGATGTCATTGTCACCTTTGTTGTGGTCGTTGTCGTTGTCGTTGTTGTTGTCGTCGTCGTTGTTGTTGTCATCGTTGTCGTCATCGTCGTTGTTGTAGTTGTCATTGTTATCGTACAAGAAATTAAATTTTTTAAATCATTTGATGTATTAAAAAATGTGTGCGTGTGTGGTGATGTTACTCTTTGAGCGACATTTACGGCTCTTAAATACAATGTTTCTACGAAATCTTTACCCATTTTATTAGTCATGGGTTCTTTGGGAATAATAGGAATGAATCGTGAATTTGTATTAGAATTTGTTGTAGGACGAGTAGGTGGATAAGAATTTGTCGACAATATATTACTTATTTCTTCTTTAGAACACATTATTAACGTTGGCATTATCATTACATCTTGTTCAGCTGTATAATTGTTTATGTTACTTTCCGATTTTTGTTGTTTAAGCTTTGTAAGTCGCAATCGCTTTACTGATGACTTTTTCATCTTTGATTCCATATCATTATTTTGAATAACAACATGATCAACAGTATCATCTTTTTGAATATCATTAGTTATTAATTTTTCAATTTTTTCTGTATCTTTATCAAGTGGGATTTCAAATATTGGCAATTCTTTTTCACTATTATTATCTAGCGAACATACAATTTCTTTTGTTGTATTCATAATTTTCTTATCGTTTATTGATTTTTTGTTAATAATATTTGCATTTATTATACTTGATATTGCAGCAGCATTTTGATCTTCCAACATATCATATTCTTTTTCCTGATCACATTGTTCATCTTCGTTTCGAGCATTTTGTTGTTTAAAAGAACTACGAAGTCTGTGTTTTAATGGAATATCTGCTGCATTTAATTCAGTGGATGACTTAGCATCTAATATTATAGATTCTAATGAATTATTGTTATTTGAAATCACTTCATTTTGTTTTTCTTGTAATTCATTAAAAATTTTTGTTTTTGATTTAATTTCGGTATCTTCATCAGGACTTGTATCAGTTTCTATATGTGGTCCAATAATTTCTTCGAGAAACTTTTCAAATACAGGATCAGACTCTGTTGCTTCTACTATTGATTTAATTGCATTATTCAATTCTATCATAATAGAAGTATTTGCTTCACCATTCATGGAATCATTTAAACTTTCATCTTTTAATGATGTATCTGTTGGAAGTATTGCTTTGTTAATATTCTCAGCAATTCTCTCTTGTAATTCTGTACGATTCAAAAGCTCTTTTGTTAACAGCTATAATATAATAATAAAAAACATTAAAATTATAAAAATAATTAACATTATTTAATAAGAAATTATTGTATTGTATTATAAGTGTTACTTACACTTAAATTTTCTATTGGTTCATCATTACTCTCTGATTCGGATTCTGGTGTATCATATGGAGTAGTCTGAACTTCTACACACGAGTAAGTCATTAATTCTTCTGTACTTGTTGCTGCAGTACATTTATCAAGCATGCAGAAGTTTTTTGTATTGCTTTCTGTATGTATATTATTTGTAACATCTTCTATGCTTTGAATATTTTTATCACTGCCTAATTCAAATATTAAGAATTAAATAAAATTTTCTATTTTCTTTTAGTCTTATGAAGATTATAAATGTATCATGTATATACATGTATGTATATATTATTACTATTGTTACATCTTACATTAATATTATATTTATTAATTTATTCATAATTCTATATAATTTAATTATATAATTATATAAATAAATTAGATGGACCTTGATGTTGCAAAGAATTACTATGTTTCTTTTCTTTAATATTAATGTTAGATTTGGAATGTTCAAATATATCTATATGACCTGGTAAACTTTCCAATGGAGTTGCTTCTACACTATCAAAATTAGATACTGTAATAATAAAAAAAATAAATATATTGAAAATAGATATATTGATATATATATGTATATATATTTCCAACCTTGAGTAGAGGGTGAATCAGGCTGTGATACATTTAATGTTACTTTCGTACGTTTACATCGTTCACGATCACTATTATTGTGATGTCTTTTACGAGTGCTACTAGATATTATTGGAGACCCATTACATATTTGAGAATTAGCCTATAAATATATAAATAAATGATACAAAAAAATAGAATAAAAATATAAAATAAGCGTAAGAATATATATTTTAATATATTATATTCTAATTAAGTTTCTTATATACCTCTGAAAGAACATTGATATTAAAATGTCCATAATTTTCACCAGTAAGTAATTTCAACTCATTAAGTAAATCTCCATATTGCTTTAAATGCTCATAATCAACAATTTTGCTTAAATATTCATGAACTATAAATAAATCATAATATATTTTTAATAAATTATAGATTTTCTTATTTATTTTATTATTTTATTATTAAATATAGTTTTCTTACTTATGAATTTTAAATTTTTATTAAATATTACCTGTTGAATTAATAGTAAAAAATTTTTCAATAATATTTATCAAAGTCATTCCATTAACTTTTGTACTAAATCGTCTTCCATTTGAAATTACAGTACGACATTCTTGTAAATGTGGACAAGTTTCTAAAAATATTTTAGCAGCTTCTATACATTTTTCATTTTCAAGGTATCCTAAAATCAATTATTAGAATCTCATAAAAATTATATATAAAAAACTTTATAATTATAATAAAAATTCTTTACAAAGTAATAATAAATGATATATTAATATATTCAAGATATATATAAAAGATATATTTATATATATGAATGTATAAATTATGAAAATAAAATGTTATTTAATAATTAATTTTATAATATTATATTTATTATTTTAATATCTATTTATTCAATGTTTATTTACTTCGTTTACATAGATCTTTTTGTATTTTTTATTAGTTTAATAATATAATTATTATAATAGTAATTATTATAATAAAATTAACATCTTAATATATTAATAAAGACAATATTATTGACTTTCTAACATTTCATTGTTATAATCAGAAAGTATTTATATTCCCGCCATACAACAGGTTATTGCAACACGACGCGCAAAATATATGTCATGTTACTCTTACCGAGAACTAATCGAGCTATTTCCGACGGTAATAATGTTTCCATAATGCTTATTGATATTTAAAGTCTGAATATATCACTGAAAAGTTATCTTTATCATCTTTAGAATCATTGAAACAAAACATAAGTATGAATATGTATGAAAAATATTTTAAAATAATATCTTAAAACGAATCTTAAATAGAATATCTTTTACGAAGCAATTTTACCAACATTAAAACTTTACAATATTACATAGTATATAAATTATTTTTTTCCATTTAGTGATTCACATACAGCATATATATTGTACTCTATTCTATTTTGAAGCAGATCAAAAGTGGAAAAAATTTCTTATAAATTTAGGTACATTATAGGTACGATGTTGATTTTTAGTTATTAAAATTAATGTAAAAACATTTTTTTCTATCGAATATATTCATTTCATATTCATTTTCATATTATTCAAATATTTCATTTTCTATCGTTTATAAAATTTGAAAGATTTTTTAGATTATTTTTTATATTTTAGATTTTATTATTTAAGAATAATTATATATTAATATAATAATTATATAATAATTATATATATATTATTATATTTTTGATAAAACATATGTATTAAATATCATTAGCAAATAAATAAGTACAAGTTGACAAATAAACATGATTATAATGTATGTATATTGTGTATGTGTATTTATTGTATTTATAGATTCATGACAAATGGGAAATTGGCAAATGGAGGTTGGAAGAATGATGTCATATATATTATTTCCCATTGGAGTTTATTATTATTTTAATCAAACAGAAAATATTGAAGAATGGATAAAGACTGAAAAGAAAAAGTTTCAAAATTCAGATAACATACAACATACAGAATTTATGAATTTTATTGAGGAATTTAATAAAAAGCAACAGTTAAAAAGAATTGTAGAAATGGAAGCGCAATATAATGAAGTGAAATAGATTAGAATTATGTTTTAGAATTATATGATCTGGAATTTTTGCTTATAAATGAATACATAAAGTACATTATGCAAATGTAGATATATTATTGTATTTATTTTTTTTATAGTTATTATTTTTAATATTTATAATATATTATAATATAATATATTAATTAATTGAATTATTTATATATAAGTCCTTTTATTTGTTTATGTTTAATCGTTATTTTTTATTATAATATCATTATTTTTTACATATCATTATTAAATAGAGATAATAAAGTTATATTAATCGAAATTATAATTGATTAAAAAAAATGGATTCAAATATTCAAACAATAAATGTAAACGTTTTATTAAAATATCTGGTTTATATTTCTGGATAATTTAATTAAAATAAAAAATTTACAAAAATTTTTTTGTATTGAATTTATTTTTAAATAAATGTAAATACTAATATGTTACTTCTATAATTAGAGATAATCTTTGCCAACTATGTGATATAAAATAAAATCATATAACATTTAGAAAGAAACAATCACAACCTGATAATTGCATGAACATTATATTATATAGTTAGAATAAAGGTTACGAATTTAGTTAACTTGGTAAATAATATTTTATTATTTTAAAAAATTATAACTATTTAAAATAGCGATATTTTCTTTAAAATCATTTATTAATAATAATGTTTAAGAAAATATTTAAAAATACTACTTAAAATTCGAATTATAACTTCTTTATACATATGTGTTAGTACGTGTTACATATATATTGTTTCGTGTTGCAGATCTTCTTAAGCATCACATTCGAATATATTCTAATCTTTTAAAATATAGTAAAAAAAAGTATAACAATTTACAATGGTTCAAGTACGATATACTCGTAATTTATTTTTACGGGGAATATGTGTTATATATCTTTTTGCGTTTCTTAGTTTTTATATTCAAATTCCAGGTAAATATAAATGTAAACGTAAAAAATTAAAAATGTTCAATTTTTATATTTATAAAATTATATTTGCATCTATTATAATGCTACTGTTTTAACGAAACTTATTTTTTCAAATATATTTATATATATCTTTTTCTTTTTAAATATGATAAAGGATTATATGGTGATAATGGAATTCTACCAGCTAGAACTCAATTAGATTTGAAAAGTCGCACACCCTTATTTCAAAAATTAAGACAGAAACCAACATTATTATGGTTTGCTCCTTATTTTGGATTGAACATAGAATACATGCTAGATGTATTATCACTTATGGGAATTGCTCTTTCCTTTGTAGGGTAATTATTAATTATTAATTATTGTTAAAATTTAAATAATATATATTTAAGTATTAAAATATATTAAAGTATATTTAAGTATTAAAATTATAAAAAATATATATATATGATAATTATTTTCAGATTTATCTCACAAAAATTTTGTATTGCATTTGTATTTGCATTACTTTGGTTATTATATTATTCTCTATATCAAATTGGTCAAACATTTATGTGGTTTCAATGGCAAGTATTAAATCTTAATTTTTTAATCTCCTTTTTTTATATTTATATTTTATATATTTATTATAATAAATACTGCTTATTTTTATACTGCTTTATAAAAATCTTTATAAAAATACATTATATACATATTGTAATATAAAGCAAATATAAATTATCAAATAATATTAGATTAATTTGACATAAATCATTAATTAATTAATTTTTAAATAAATAAATTTCATTATTTCTTTAAATCAATTTATTCAGATATACATGTAATGCAATATATTAGATTTTGATTTTTTCTATTATAATTAATACACTATATATTGTAGTTATAATAATAAGAATTGGAAAGATATAAAATAATTAATCATTTATGACAAGTTTATAGATATTTTTTGCATATTTTTATAGGGATGTACTTTTATTAGAAGCAGGATTTTTATGTATATTAGTAGCACCATTTTGTTATTCTCAACGTGGAAAAATAAGTACACCAAGCGATGTTGTAACTTTTTGGACTGTACGCTGGTTACTTTTTCGTTTAATGTTCTCTAGTGGAGTAGTGAAACTTACTTCTGGTTGTCCCATTTGGTGGAAATTAGATGGTATAATATTTTTAACAAATATTTTTAAATAACCAAATGAAAAGATTATTCCTCTTTATAATAATTTTTCAGCTTTGAATATACATTTTGAATCACAATGTATACCTACTCCATTAGCATGGTATGCACATCATTTGCCAGCATGGTTTTTACGTTTTACTACTGTGATTGTCAATATTATTGAACTTGTCATTCCATTTGTGTTCTTCTTTCCAAACAGAAAAGTGAGAATAATAGCATTTTATACACAGGTAATATATATATAATGAATAAAATCAATATTTTTATTTTTTTTAATATATGATTGTTTAATTATTTATATTGATTGACCAGGTATTTCTTCAAATACACATTATAGCTACAGGGAACTATAATTTTTTCAACTTCTTAACTATATGCTTATGCATTTCTTTACTTGATGATCATTTTTTCTATAAAAGAAAATCTAAAAATGATTCTTACAATATTATAAAATATTTCTCTATAATATTATGTATTTTAGTTTATGGAGGAATTTTTTATGCAACATATATATATTATAATCTTAGATTATCTGATAATTGGACTATTCAAAGTAATATTGGTATGTACATATTTACAATGCCAAATATTCTTCTTGATAATTATTTACTTTTCTTATTATTTTAGCATTTACTCAAGAACAATTTGATTATATGTTATCACGTGCAATACCACTTTCTATTCATATTGGTGTAGTATCCCTTGCATTTACAATAGCAAATGCAATAGTTGTTTCTTTATTAACTATTAAAGGAATACAGAATAAAATCTTCGCAACATTTGTTACGATTTTTTATACAGCAGCAGTTTGTTTTGTTTTTGCTATAAGTATTGTATGTAATACATGTAATTATTTAAAATTTCAAATTATAATAATATTAATATTATATAATATTTTTACATTTAGGTACCTTATGCTACTTTACATCACACATATAATTCAACAATACCAATTCAATTAAGACAGATGCAAGGAAAAGTAGAATATCTTCATTTGGTAAATAGTTATGGATTATTCAGACGCATGACTGGAGTAGAAGGTAGATTGGAAGTTATCATCGAAGGTAGTAATAATATTGATGGTCCATGGAAAGAATATGAATTTTTATATAAACCAGGAAATGTTAATAATTCATTACCATTTGTTGGTGAGTAATTTGAAAAAATATTTTATATTTTATACATTTTCAATATTATTTGATATTTCTGATATTAGATTTTTTTCTTAATCATTATTGTTTTCAGCTCCTCATCAACCGCGACTTGATTGGCAAATGTGGTTTGCTGCATTAGGTACATACCATCAAAATCCATGGTTAATGTCATTAGCGTATCGTCTTTTGAGAGGTCAACCAGAGATATTGGCTCTAATGAATAATGTAGAAAATCCATTTCCTGAAAAACCACCTAGATATATCAAAGCAAGTCTTTATCGTTATCATTATACTCCATGGAGTCAATCGTAAGTATTTATATACTTTTTTACGTTTCTGATTATTTAATGTTTAATTTTATTAATTTTATTTTTGATTAGATGGAATAAACAAGCTTGGTGGACAAGAGAAAAAATCGGAGAATATTTTCCAATATTTAGTCATGATCATCCACCACTCATCGAATATTTATCAAAAATGAAAATTATTCAAGATAAGCCAGTTTACAAAGTAATAAACGAACCGCTAAAATTACTCCTTGATAGTATTAGATCTTTGGTTCACAAAATTGAAGCTAGTCTTTTTTTGTGGGGAGTTTTTACAGCAGGTTGTACAATTATTGTAACTAGCTATAATAACTCAGTTTTAAAGAAAAAGTAATTATTCGTTTCATTTTTTAACGTTCTCAGTGAAAAATATTCATAATCAACTACATTTGAAAAGACATACTTGTGTATAAATATAATCAAATTTGGTTGTATCTTGCATATAAATTATTTCTTAAATTATGCATATAGTATATTTTTACAAATACACGAACTTTTTTGCTCTGCTTCTTTCTCTTTTTTTTTTATTTTATTTTTATAACATATAATATGTACTTATCAATTAAAAGAAAAGAAAAGAAAAGAATGAATTTATTAGGAAAATATATCATTTATTTCTTATCAAGAATATTATAAGATGTTTATACCAAATTTATCAGAATATCTTTTAACATTTTTTATATATTTGAAATTTTTGTTTATTATTTTATATACAATTGTTCTCCATTATTTATTATTGTATTAAAATATTATAGCAAGTTGCACGCAAAATTTTCACATAAATCAATAAATTAAGATAACATTCATTTAAAGAAATAAGTAGTAATAATTTAATATTTATTTTTTTGTGTATATTTTATAAATATCTATTGAATTATTATGATCTTGCAATATAAATATATATAATATATTGTGAAATATATTTTGTTTATTTTATAAATGAAATTAATTAGAAACTTCATTGATATAAATATATTAAAAAATTTAGATATTTTTATAATATTATTTTTTTAAGTAATTTAAAGATATAATGAAATGTTAATAACAGGAATTTTCCTATAAAAACTTAATCAAAAAAGATTTTGATTATATATGCGGAAATTAATTTGATACTGGGAAAAGATTTGTTTTATTTCATTATGTAGTATATTTTACATATATAAACAAAAGATTTTGCATTTGTATTTTAAAAATAAAAAAAAAGAAATTGATATTTTTATCATCTTAATTTTTTATTATTTTCACTTAACATTCTTAATTTTTTTGTTTTATGTTTATCTAATGTACATGATATTTTAGAAATTTTTCTTTTTGGTGTAATATCATTATATAAGAACGTATCCATTACATAAACTTCAGGCAAAACAATTTTTGATAAACCTATAGGATATTTAAATAATTGTTCTAATCGTGTTTCTAATAAAGTAAATACTTTATAAAATTTATGTGATTGTATAAAAAATCTACCAGGATTATATTTTTCATTCAATCGTTTCAAATACATTAAATTTTTGAAACTTGATAAAGTTGCATGACTAGCATATATCATAGGTATATCATGTTTTTCAATTGTTTCAATACCAGAAAAATGTTTTTCTTTAAAATTATTAAATAATATATCATCTTGTTGAATGGTCTGTATACATATTTTTTTATAACATTTGTTTTGCAACTTTATATGTTGAGATTTTACATTATTATTTTCAAGAGATGTACCAATGTCAAAAAGAGTAATTGATTCCATTTTTTCTAATAATCTGTCATTTGTTGTTGTTGAATTCTTTTTATCAGTGTCATTATTATGTCCTTGTAATAGCATTTTTGCTGGTAATTTACAGTTTTGAGTTTTAAATATTTGTTCATATCTTGAATTATTAATTTCAAATAAACGACTAAGTTTTTGAAATTGTAATTCCTCTTCATTGCCACCAATATAGGAAATTACAATATCTGGAGTATTAAAACTTGTAGGTTTTTCAAGCAAAAAATTATTTTTCGCATTTAAATTATAATCAATACATTGACTTTTTTTTGATTTTTTTAATTTTATCTGTGAATCAAAAGGAGGTGGAGGTACAAAATGTGAATCTTTAGTTTCATTTATACCAAACATGCGTGATATATATTTGTTTATTGTCTCAAAATACTTTTTTTTATCATTTTTTAATTTTATAAAATCCCTTAATGAATATAATAGCTCTTGATTCGTATCATTTAATTTTATGTTACTGATATCATTTGGGATATAAAGTTTGGCATTTAATAGTTGTAAAATATTATATAAATTTGTTGTATTATATTGCAATTTTTCCATATTATGAAATTTGCATTTATGTATCAATTTTTCTATTTTATGCCTTGTATGAAAATATTCAATTAATTTTTTATCCAAATCATTATCATAATCGTTACTATCAATATCATTATTAGATTTAAAGATATCTTTAAAAGACTCTTCTTTTTTTTGTTCTTTTTCTTTTTCATTTTCTTCATAAAAATGATGTTTATGTAATTCAAATAAAGAGACACCTCTTTTAATATATTTTTGTAAAGCTTTATATCTATGTCTTAATTGAGTTCTATTTTTACATGAAAATTGTTTAGCTATCATAGACCAATTTGGACCAATATTCTCAAAAAGATTGAGTAATTTTGTGTCTTCTTCAAATGTCCATAAGTTCCAATTTTCAATTTGATTGATAGTTAATGTTTGATAACGATCATGAAGTTGAACAGTGGATCTATTAGGCATTAATGCAGCTGATATTTTACGAAAATTTGTACCATATTTGATGACAGCATCTTTCAGAATATTATCTTCAATTTTAGTAAATCTACCTTTTATTAAATATGGTGTTAAACTGTATGTCCATCGAAAATATGCTTGTTGTTTAGTTCTATTTTGCATCCAACTAGCTACATCACCCCAAGGGATAAAATCACCAACTTTAAATATTTCTATTAATTTCAGAAGTCTTTCATCTTCTTCATTTTCCCAAGTACAATTTCTAATTTTGGGTAATTTTTTTGTTGTATTATATCTAATAAAACATTGATATGCAGTACGATTTGTATTTAATTCTTTGGCAATTTTGTCCCAGTTTTGAAATTTATAATTTTTCACAATTTTTCTAAGTTTAATATCTTCTGATTTTGTCCAATGACTTTTATTAATATCAGGTTGAAGAAAAACATTCCACATAACAGAACAATCAAGCGGAGAATGAATATCTTCAAAATAAGTAGATGATATTTTAAACCAATCAAATTCTTTTTCCTGTAATCTTTTTGATTTAATCATTTCTAAAAAATTTTTAGGTAGAAATTCTGTTTTCATTTCTTTCTTATCATCATTTTTAGTTTTTAATTTAAACATTTTATTATTAAGTTTTGAACATTCTATTTTTTGAATACATAATACATCTGAAATGGCTTCCTTTTGTATTGCTTTTAAAAGCATATCCCTTTCTTTTTTTGTCCATGAAGAAACTTTAGGGAGATTTCTTAATTGTAATTCTTTACTATTTTCTTTTAATATTTCATCTTCATTATTAGGAGCAAAAAAATAATATTTATCCTTAAAATATGGCATACCGGCATTGCAAATTAAAATTTTTGTATCTCCAAGTGCATGTTTTTGTAAATTTTTTTCTATTGCTTTTAATTTTCGTTCACATTTTTGAAGTGCAAAGGTTACATGTCTCTTTAAATCCAATAAAGAAGAGACTATTTGTCTGTTAAAATGTAATGTATTATTATAATTTTCAATATTGTATTCCATAAAATCATCTTCAGTTTCATATTTTTTTTCCAATATACTTGTTTGATTTTTAATAGATACTTCTGAATTATTAATAATTAATTCAATATCATTTATATTAGAAGTATTTTCAAACTGATCTTCATCTTCATATTTGAATGATATTATACTTTCTAATAATAATATCTTGACTAAATCATTATCATCATTATCTTCATTGGATGACATATTTATTACGAATAAGTTATTGTTTTGATGTTATTTTACAATTAGCATATATTTTATTATTATTAATTACAAAGTATATATACTAAAATATTAAATATCCATGAGATATTAATGAAAAATAATATATTTATTGAAAGACGTATCGTTAAGTTTTGGTATTTTAACTTCGATATTTTAAGTACAGAAAATAAAATAAATAAAATGAACGAATAAAATATTATGCACTTTTTGCAGATTTAATGAAGATTAATTATTTACACTTAAAAATGTATATACATAACAATTATATTATGAATATTGATATAATTTCCAAAACGCATTTGACACATACTGTTCTTTCGTTAGCACGATATATTGTACAATCATAATGTTGATTGGTTTGACAAATCAATACGGAAAAAAATAAAAATCGTATGTTTAAATAATATTTAATCGTAATTTATTTAAAAGATTCCGTAAAATAAGTATACGTAAAGAGCTTACAAATAAAATTGATTTTTTAATTTGAAAAGAAGAATAATTGAAGAAATAAGAAAATGTTGACATTCAAACGGAAGTTGTGCACATATGTTTACGATATAGTTTCTATAAAGTTGTACATGCGCAGTTCGTATGGCCTGAATATGTCGGCTGGGTAAAATACGTTAACTGTTATCATGTCTAGAACGATTTCCTTTGGTTAAGTTCATTGCTGTTAAATTATTACGAAAGCCATTGTAACTTAAAAGTTGGGAAGTAGAGATATAATATATATTATTGATTCACTAAGTCAAACTCGCCATATTGTATATTAAAAAATTTAGTAAAGGAGGCCTTATGTCAAATCAGTTCAACACTGAGAAGGCCGACGACGTGTGCTAATATGAAGAAGCTGTTTTCAAAAATTGAAAACACGTCGAAGGAGCCTAACAGTTACGTAGGAAAAGTTTTCGTGGTAGGACGTTATACTGTCACTGTTGAAGAGGTTTTAGCTGAAGGTGCGTCTTATTATCAACCTTGAATACTCATCACCCCTTCCATTCGTTTCATTTGTATGCTTGATAATTTTTTACTTTTTGTATATAATTTGTTTATAAAAAGTAAAATTAATATTTGATATCGCATAATGAATCACGAATTAAATATATTAAAGTGATCATTAATTCTTAAATAAAATTAATAATATATGTTGCTTGACATCTGAAATGTTTGAGTTAGAACAAATATTAATAAATGTATATGATGCACACACGTACATGCGCGCGCGCGCCCACTATATATATATATATGTCAAAAAGTATTGATATCGTCAATATTTTGACGATTAATTATAATAATAAAATTATAATAAAGAATTCTTTTTTTTAAAAATATATTTTATTTATTTATTTTGTTTTAATATATATATATAAATTTTGAAATCTTAAAGCAAAACTTTAATATATATATATATATATATATATATATATATTAACCAAATAATTGAGTAAAAATATATTATTTTAAAATATAAAATATCTGAATACATGAACATTTAACACAAAAAATTTAATTAGTTAACATTTGGCAAATGTATCATGATTTTATAATTATTTTTAATAATATTATTATAGGAGGATTTGCTATTGTATTCCTGGTAAAATCTTCAAGTGGACGTTATGCACTTAAACGCATGTATGTCAATAATGAACATGATCTCAATGTATGTAAAAGAGAGATACAAATCGCAGTAAGTTTTACATCTTTTTTAGATAAATTATAATTATGATTTTATAAAGATTTCCCATAATTATTTGAATTATTTATTTTTATTGATTTTGTGAAAATTACATTTTTATTTCTATTTTTAGAGTAACTTAAATGGTCATAAAAATATCATAGGATATTTGGATAGCAGTATTACAAACATAGGAGGAGGAGTACATGAACTTCTACTTTTAATGCCTTATTGCAAAACTCAAGTTTTACAGATGATGAATAATAGGTTAAAAATATGTTAAAGAAGTTTCAATAATTATACAAGATACATAGAAGAAAATTTTGAAGTACTAACTTAATAATTTACAGATTACAAACTGGCTTTAGTGAATCTGAAGTTCTTCAAATATTTTGTGATGTTTGTGAAGCAGTATCTCGATTACATCATTGTCAAACACCAATAATACATAGAGATTTAAAAGTTTGTATTAGATGTTTTAGTTTTTGTTAAGACTTAATTTGATAATATAATTTTTATATACTTTATTAATGTAATATTTGTTTATTTATTTATTTATTTATTTATTTGACATTTTTTAGATTGAAAATATATTGTATTCTGATACTGGTCATTATGTATTGTGTGACTTCGGTTCTGCAACAGCAAAAATTCTTAATCCTAGTGTACATGGTGCAGCAATAGTCGAGGAAGAAATTAAAAAATATACAACTCTCAGTTACAGAGCACCTGAAATGGTTGATATGTATTGTGGAAAACCTATTACAACAAAAGCAGATATATGGGTAGAATAAATTAAAAATTTTTAATCTAAAAAATTTATTCGTAGAAATAATATTTCATAAATTCTTAGGCATTAGGATGTTTGTTATACAAACTTTGTTTCTTTACATTACCATTTGGGGAAAGTACACTTGCTATCCAATCGGGAAATTTTACGATACCAAATCATTCGAGGTTAGTTCTTTATATATATATATATATATATCTTTATTATATATTTATTATATATTATTTTTTTATTCATTTTATTTTTAATTTTTTTATTTCATATAATAAAATTATGAGATTAATACTTTATATTATATAGATATAGTAGAAGTCTTCATTGTCTGATTCGTTATATGCTTGAGCCGGATTCTGATAATCGTCCCGATATTTATCAAGTGTCTATGATTGCATTCCAAATTTTGGGTAAAGAATGTCCTGTACAGAATTTACATGTATGTATATGCATATATTTATTAATTAATTATTCTTTATAAATATATTTGATATGTGTGATGTGTGAATTGATATTTCTAATTGAATAAAGAAAAAAGTAAAGACTGATAGCAACACTATTAAATATTTTCAGATATTTTCATTTATGTAAATTATAAATATGATGTAAATATGTAAAAATGAATGTATATATATATATATATATATATATAGCAACATGTATATATTTTTACAATTATACTTCTATATTCTTTTTAGAAAGTTTCAATTCCAGTTCTGGAATCATTAACTTGTCCGCCTATGGAATCTGAAAATGTTAAAAGGTCATCATTAGTGAAAACACCAAAACCAATTCCAGTAACTACTGTTGAGGGTACATCAGTTACACCAAGGCAACGACCAAAAGGGCAAGCTGTAAGCACAGGTCCGATTAGTTTAAGTGGTCAAATCGTAAGTCAAATATCGGGTCAAGGAAATCAAGCTCAGTCACAAAGTTCTATAGGAAATACAGTTTCATATGTTCAAATGGGTCAACAACTTGCTCCATTGAATACATCTCAAACTTATGTTGGACAAAGTATGCAATCAAATGTTCAATCATTATCAGTAAATACGCAAGCATCTTCTCATCAAGTTTCAGCGCTTAATCAAGTTTCGCCGCAAATTTGTACAACTAGTCAAAATATTTCTTTTGGACATCAATCGCAAATCCAAAAATCACAATATAGTCAATCACATTGTTCTACAATTAGACGATCTCCTGCAAGTGTTCAAGATACAGTAAGTTCGTACTTTGACTCAACATTGACAACAAATATAAATGAAGAAAATTTAGAAGCGCTATTTCCACCATCTGGTAAGAATTTATGCTTAAAAATTTCTTCCAACTTTCATTAGTTTAAGTGTATATGTTCAGATTATTCTATTTGCAGGTTATCCAGATCCATTTAAAGATGATAGCCGAGCTATGCCACCACCTGCAAAAATACCACCACCTGTTGCTCCTAAACCTAAAATTCTGCCCAAAATATCAAGTATTTCTGCTAGTTGTCCTCCTCCTAAATATATACCTCTTACTTCGTTAACATCGAAATTGAATACTCCAACTGGGCCTAATAAAGCCACTCCTATAATGGTACCAACTTTACCGAAACCAGTTAATAAAACTGAGAGTTTGAGTCAGAATATAAGTTCAAGTACTTCTCCACCTGATAGTCCAACACTATCTTCTGTACGCCATAGAAGAAATGTTAGCGATACAAGTGCTTTCAATAAGTAAGTCAGTCAGTTTCTTTCCCCTTCCTTCTCTTTCTCGCCTTCTCTCTCCCCCTTCTTTCCCTCCCTCCCTTCCTCTTTTTCTTTCCTCTTCTTTCCCCCCTCCCCCCATACATATATATAAGATATTCTTTAATAAATAGAATCAAGAAAATTTTATGACTCAAAATAAATCAGAATAATGAAATAACGTTCATTATTCATCATTTTTAAAAAAATGCATTTTTTGAATTTTTTGCATTTGAGAATTAATTGAATGTATAGTTGTATAATTGAATGTATAGTTTAATTTATTTATTATTGATGGAATATATTTCAATTTAATAAAATATTTTAATTTGATGACATTATTTTGAAAAAAACATGTTATTTTATTATTATTTATTTGTTTTTATTTATAAAATAGTTTTTTATTATATCATAACACATACACACACATATTTACCAATTATCCAATTATATCAAGTAAAGACTGAATCAACTTTATATATTTGAAAAATTTTCAAATTTAATTTTATTGAAGATAACTTTAATATAATTTTATTATTTTTTATCTTCGTTTTATTTTGTGTCATAAGATCTTTATATAAATTATAAGACATTTTATATAAATATAAAATATATAAAATAATATTTTTTTTATACATGTAATTTGTATAAAATAATTATTGATTTTTAAATATATATAACATATATTAATATAGGAATAAATATTTTTTTTCTTTCATAAAATTAATTTATATGTATGAATATTTAAAAAATATTTATTTATTATTCATACTATAGAGCATTTGCAAGCGAAACAACA